TCGGCGTGGTTCCTCCTGCCCTTCGCCGCCCCACGCGGGGCACCGGCCCGCCCTCCCTGCCGGGCCGGTCCCGGGCGATGTAATGCTGCCCGACTGCCGCCGGGGACACCGAGACACAGGGAGCGCTTGGGCCGCGCCGGGGCCGCCCGGCCGCAGCTGAGTTCCTCCTGGCCACCCGCCTCTCCTAGGTGACCCGAAGGGAGCGTTTTCCCGGAGCCTCGCCCCCCCGGGGGCATGGGCGCAGCCCAGCCAGATGGACGAGAAGACCAAGCAAGGTGGGCGCAGACTGGAGGTGACGGGGGGCTTCGGGTGGGAAGCGGCCCCGAAGGACCTGGCCTCGAATACCAGAAAGGCCTGGAAGGGGGGCGTCTTGGGACCCCGAGGCCTCCTCAGGCCAGCTTTGGGCCGAGATGGGAGCGGAGGGGGAGGGCACAGGGCATTGAACTTTGAGACCTCCGGGGCTAGTGGGAAGATGACCTCGGCTGACCTGAGGAGCAGGGGCCCTTGCTTCGCCTCTGGCCTCTGCACGCAGCTTTGTAGAACACAGGTCTTGTCACTGCCCTGCTCAGAGCTCTCCCGTGGTCCTCTGTGTTCTTAGAACAAAACCCAGAACCCCAGGGCCGCTGGCCCCTGACCTCCGGTCTCCCCTCAGCCAGCCCCCTTGCTCCCTCTACTGAGACCCAGTGGCTTCTTTCTGTTTTTGTTTGTTTTTGAGTTGGGGTCTCACTCTGTCACCCAGGCTGGAAGGCAGTGGCACAATCACAGCCACTGTAGCCTCGACCTTCTGGTTTCCAGCGATCCTACCGCCTCAGCCTCCTGAGTAACTGGGACTACAAGTGCACACATCACACCACACCCGTCTGATTTGTTGATTTATTGCAGAGACGAGGTCTTGCTGTGTTGGTCTTGAACTCTTGGGCTCAAGCAGTCCTCTCACCTCTGCCTCCTAGAGTGCTGGGATTACAGGCTAGAGCCACTGCGCCCAGCCCCTTCTGTTCTAACGATTGTTTGCCCAAGGTCTTTGCCCTCATCCTTCTCTGCGTCTAGAACATTTCTCCTTGGTCTTGAAGCATCCACCTTCTCCTTCGGGTCTCAGCTTCAGTGTTACCTCCTCCTAGAGGCCTTCCCTGAACTCCTTACTCTGTTTATTTCTTGCCAAGAAGGAAGACAATCTGACTTTTTGTTTTTGTTGTTTTGTTCCAGGCTGGAGTGCAGTGGCAAGATCACAGCTCACCACAGCCTCCACCTCTTGGGCTCAGATGATCTTTCTGTCTCAGCCTCCCAAGTAGCTGGGACTACAGGCATGCACCACCACGCCTGGCTAATTTTTGAAGTTTTGTAGAGATGAGTTCTGGTTATGTTGCCTAGACTGGTCTCGAACTCCTGGACTCAAGTGATCCTCTTGCCTCAGCATTCCAAAGTGTTGAGATTACCGGCGTGAGCCATGCACTGGCCCAATCTGACTTTTTTCTTGTCTTGTTAAACTTGTTTATTGTCTCCCCACTGAGCAGGGAGGTCCATGAGAGGGACCTGTTAATTTAATCACTGTTGAATCCCAGTTCCTGGGACAGGGGTGGCACACAGTAGTAATTCAATAAATGCTTGTCAGATAAGTGATTAGAAGTATGGGAGGCCTTGGGAGTAGAAAGGAAAATGGAACCAAATGAGCCTGGAGTGGGAAGTGTCAGAGATGGCTTTCCAGAGAAAGAGCCTTTTAGTCTGGGTGCTGAAGTATGACATGTAATCAAGAAGACAAAGGGGGAGCAGCATGCGCAAAGGATCACCTCCTCTCGCCACCTTGCGCCCAGCTCCCTGCAATGTCCCGCTGTGCTGGCTTTCAGCAGAGGAGGTGGCCCTGCGGCTTACCCGGGCAGTCGCCGGCGGGGATGAGCAGGTGGCTATGCAGTGTGCCATCTGGCTGGCTGAGCAGAGAGTGCCCCTGAGTGTGCAGCTGAAGCCTGAGGTCTCCCCGACGCGGGACATCAGGTGAGGAGCGCGTGGCCGGCAGGGACCTGAGGCTTCTCAAACCCTGGTGGGCAGCAGGACACTTGCCTGTGGAGCAGTTATGCTTATGGCAGGTTCTGGTGTCCAGAGACCTTGCTGCAAACCCCAGGCCTGCCACTGATCAGTTGTGAGAAAGAGCGGGTCCCTTCACCTCTCAGAGTTTGTTTTCTCATTTTTATTTTTTGAGGTTGGGTCTCACTCTGTCACGCAGGCTGGAGTGCAGTGGCACGCTCATGGCTCACCACAGCCTCAATTTCCTGAGCTCAGGTGATCCTTCTGCCTCAGCTTCGTGAGTGGCTGGGATTATAGGCACATGCCACCACGCCTGGCAACTTTTTAAATTTTTGTGGAGACCAGGTCTTCACTGTGTTGTCCAGGCTGGTCTCTAACCCCCGAACTCAAGCAATCTTCCCACCTCAGCCTTCCAGAGTGCTGGGATTATGGGCATGAGCCACTGTACCTAGCCAGGTTTCTCATTTTTAAAATGGGACAGTAACAGTAGCTACTGCATCAGGTTATTAGGAGATGTACTGTATTAGAAGGTTAGGCCTTACATAGCAGGAAAAAATATAAAAGTGGCATGAAGAAGTCAGTCCCGATGTGTGGGTTCTACTCCCCAGGGTTCTCGGAGATTCACGCTTCCTTTCTCCTTATTCTGCTGTTTGTGGCCTCTGCTCTGAGATTCACCTCATGGCGCAGGGTGGCCGTTCCAGCTCCAGCCATCAGGCACATCAGGGGAGGGAAGCAAGGCACCTCTCCCCACTCCCGCTAAGAACACAGCTCCGAAGCTGCATACTTGCCTTCTGCTTAATGACTCTTCCAGCTACACTCAGTTTCAAGGGAGGTTGTACAGCCAGATTTTCGACCAGAATCCAGGGGCTCTCTCAGCAAGGGAAACAAGGGAGATGGATTCCCTCAGTCTCTGCTCCCAGAGCCTCAAGTTTGATGATGAAGCACTTTGTAAAGGTTTGGCCCATGCTGATCACTCAGTAAACCTTAGTGTCAGTGGACTTTTTTCTTTCTTTTTTAACTGATTTTTTATTGCTGTAAAGTAAGGCAAATCAGTTTCTGATTTTCAGTTCTCCTGGTGGGTCCCTTTTCATTTTTTTTAATTAACTTTATTGAGATAAAGTTTACATCCATATAATTCAGCCATTTGAAGTGTACAGTTCAGTGACTTTTACTGTATTCAGAGTTCTGTAGCCATCACCACAGTCAATTTTAGAACATTTTCATCATCCTGTAAAGAAACTTCAGACTCATCAGCAGTCACACTTCAGCCTCCTCCCTAACTTCCCATTCCTACACAACCACTCTGCTTTTTTTTTTGAGTCAGAGTCTCACTCTGTTGCCCACAGCCACTGCAGCCTCAACCTCCTGGGCTCAGGTGATCCTGCCTCAGCCTCCCAAGTAGCTGGGACTGTAGGCGTGTGTCACCACGCCCAGCCAATTTTTTTGCTTTAATGTAGAGACAAGGCTTCACCAAGGTTTGCCCAGGCTGGTCTCAAACTCCTGGGTTCAGGCAGTCCTCTCTCCTCAGCTCCCAAGTAGCTGGGATTACAGCTCCCAGCTGAGCTCCCATGCCCAGCCAGTAGTCACTTTTTTAATGTCCAGGAACTCTTTTTCTGGTTACTTCTTGCCTGTTCTTGCTCTATGAGTGCAGCATTTCCCTGAATCTCTCTGAAGATAGTAGATAGACTTTAATGTTGTTATTGGTTTGTACTCTACATCAACACTTCCACCTTTTTGGCATTGGACTGCCTTCACGGAAGACAGTTTTTCCATGAATGGGGGTGGGGAATCATCAGGCATTAGATTCTCATAAGGAGTGCATAACCTAGTTCCCTCACACGTAGGATTCATGCTCCTACATGAGTCTAATGCTGATTTGACAGCAGGAGCTCAGGTGGTAATACAGGCGATTGGGAACCATTAGCAGCTGTAAATACAGGTGAAGCTTCCCTCACTGGATCACTACTCACCTCCTGCTGTGTGGCCAGGTTTCTAACAGGCCCCAGACAACCTGCAGCCCAGAGGTTGGGGACCCCTGCCCTATGTCATCTCTGTTTCATTCAGGATTACATTCTGTTCTTTCATCTTAGTTCTTCCTTTTCATGTGTTTGATTTTCTAAAAAGCTTGACAGATCCTCGAGGAAGTTAAAACTACTGTCTTTGGAATGACACCGTTTGGATTTAAACCCTGCCTCTAGCAGTTATTTCTTAGTTTGGCAGAATCCCAGTGACCCATCTGTGCCTCGTGTGTTTATCTGTAAAAAAGGGACAGACAGTTCCCACCTCAGGGGTGGCTAAGAGGAGTAAATGAGTTCCTGACTGAAGTGCATTGTGTGATCTTGGCACTCGGGCCGTCAAGGCTCATTGTCTGGCCGAGGAGCAGGGGTGGGGAGGTGGGAGGAGGCGGGAGGCACCAGTTGCCGGGCCCTCGTGTGCCGTGTGAGTTCGCTCCAGAGCCGTGGGGAGTGGGTGTAGCAGTGGGTTCCAAGATGCACAGAATGCTGGAGTCCAGGGAAGGTGCCTCACCCAGACGGGGGGTGGCATGTGCCTGTGTACTGCACGTGCGTGTGCCTGTGTGCAAACATGCACGCGTTTGTTGCTGGTGGCTGAGGCTGGACCTGTGACCAGAGCCCTGCCCGCTCCCCTCCACAGGCTGTGGGTGAGCGTGGAGGACGCGCAGCTGCACACTGTCACCATCTGGCTCACGGTGCGCCCTGACATGACGGTGTCCTCCCTCAAGGACATGGTGAGTGAGGGCCTCCTCCCCCTCGCTCCTCCCCTCTCTGCTGCGGCCCTCCCTGCCCACTCTCCTTCTCCTGGGGCCCCACCAGGTCTTCCTGGACTACGGCTTCCCGCCAACCCTGCAGCAGTGGGTGATCGGGCAGCGGCTGGCTCGCGACCAGGAGACCCTGCACTCCCACGGCGTGCGGCGGAATGGGGACAGTGCTTACCTCTATCTGCTGTCGGCCCGCAACACCTCCCTCAGCCCCCAGGAGCTGCAGCGGGAGCGGCAGCTGCGAATGCTGGAGGGTGAGGCTGTGCCCCCGCAGGGGAACCGAGGCTGCGCTCAACCAGGGGGCCCCGGGCAGGTAGCACGGAGCCCCGGGCACTGGCACGCAGTCGAGAACTCACCTGGAGTGGCCAGAGAGGGAGTGGCCAGAGAGGAGGGGACGTGAGACGCCTGGGAGGGAGGCTTTCAGAGACCTGGTGAGAACAGCTGGCTGGGGGCGGGACTGGTCCCGCTCTGGCAGCTGCCTGACCTGGGGAAAGTTCATCCCTGTCTCCCTCCTCAGTTGCTGAATTTATAAATTGGGTGTGATGGTGATGATGATGGTAACTAGTATTTGTTGTACGTTTTTTGCTCTTGAAGTATTTCAGACCTGCAGAAAAGTTGCCAAATTGTACAAAGAACTTCCCTGGGGCTCCCATGTAGGTTCCCTGGGTCAGCACTCACCACAAATGCTCTACTTTATCATTTTCTTCCTACAAAATGTTTTCCTTTTTGAACCTTTTCGAGAGTAGGTTATAGACATGATAGCCCTGTCCCTAAACACTGCCGGTTATAGCTCTTTAAAAGAAAGGCTGTTTCTTATGTCACCACATATAGCCATCCCAATGTTCAGGACATCAGCATGCTGCGGTACTATTATTATTATTATCTCTCATCTGTAGCTCTTACTGAGATTTTGTCCCATGATTGGGCTTTGTAGCAAGGGACTTGGCGTTCGGCCGTCTCTGTCCCTCAGTCCCTTTCCAAGAGTCCAGCTGGTTTTGTTTCTTGGACCCATGTTTCCTCCTGTGGACCCTGGGGTTCATGCCTGGCAGGACTACCTCAGAGGTGCTGTGGTGTTGTTGGTGTGACACAGGAGGGTGGGTTTTCCGCAGAATTTGGAGGCCCAGAGGACACAGGCACATTGATGGCGGAGTAGGGACCCTGACCTTGTGGAAGCCAGGATGCCCGCTTGGCAGGGAGGAGGGGGCATAGAGAGGGGTCTGCCTGACTGGCTCCCAGGGTGGAGGGTGGAGGCTACATGGACCCACCACCCTCAACCCTTCTCCACAGATCTGGGCTTCAAGGACCTCACTCTGCAGCCACGGGGTCCCCTGGAGCCAGCACCCCCAAAGCCTGGGGCCCCTCAGGAGCCGGGCCAGGCACCGTCAGATGGGGAGCCTGAGCCCCCACCGGTAAGCCGCCCCCGTGTGCGTCCCTGCCCTGCTCTGCCCTGCCCAGCCTGACGCTGCCTCTGTTCCCAGGTGGGCTGGCAGTGCCCAGGGTGCACCTTCATCAATAAGCCCACGCGGCCTGGCTGTGAGATGTGCTGCCGGGCGCGGCCTGAGGCCTACCAGGTTCCCACCTCGTACCAGCCTGATGAGGAAGAGCGGGCGCGCCTGGCCGGCGAGGAGGAGGCACTGCGCCAGTACCAGCAGGTGGGTGCGGCGTCCCTGGACAGACACCTGCAGTGTGTGAGGCCCCCTGTGTGGGAGGTAGGCCAGGAAGGGAGGTGCCTGCACATTGCTGCTGCCCCCTTCTAACCTCGCTGCTGGCCGTGACCCTGCACTTGGCTGTGCCTTGTCCTCTCTTGGAGGTCGCCCTGGGGTTGAGACCCTGCCCCCGACGGTGACATGTCCTGCTCCCACATAGGCAGTGACTCTGCCCCAGCCTTGACACACCTTGTGCATACAAGTGACCCTGGGCTGTGACCCAGCACCCTAGCCATGACCACACACACCTCCACCCCATCTGCCTGTGACCTCACTCCTGCTGTCCCCTCAGCCTCACCCTGGGCCCTGCTTCCTGACCCCCTCCTCTCTGGCATGGTCCACCCTGACCTCCTCGCCTCTGTCCTGTCCCTTAGCTGCCTCATCATGACACCCACTGGTGACACATCGTCCCCCAGTGTCCCCCGTTCTGTTCACGTGTCCTGCACCCCCACCGCTTTCATTTCCATGGACCCTGGCCACAGCTGACTCCTGTTCCCATCTGTAGCTTGGCTCTAACCCCTGGCTTTGTCCCTCCCTACCCCTGAGCCTGCTCCCTCCCCAGCCCTGCCCTTCTTGGTAGTACTGCTTCCTGCTCCCCACTCAGACCCTGCCCCTCCTTCCCTGCCGCGTCAGTCCCTCACCTGGTGGTGCAGACTCCTGGCTGCGCCCTGGCTTCCCCGCCTCTGCAGCCCGGCTCCCGATCCCCCCTCCCTGACCTCGCCTGCCCCAGCCCCCACCCCCCCCACCCCCCCCACCTCACCCCCCGCCAGGGTTCCCCCCTGCCCGTCTGGCCCTGCCCCTTCATGGTCTGACCAACTCTGAGACCTTGACCTGCCCCGTGGCCCCGCCCCGTGTGCCCAGCGGAAGCAGCAGCAGCAGGAGGGAAACTACCTGCAGCACGTCCAGCTGGAACAGAGGAGCCTGGTGCTGAACACCGAGCCCGCCGAGTGCCCCGTGTGCTACTCGGCGCTGGGGCCCGGTGAGGCAGTGGTGCTGCGGGAGTGTCTGCACACCTTCTGCAGGTGCGGCCCCCAGCCCCGCCCCCAGCAGTGTGGCGTTTATGGAGCAGGGCTGGAAGTGGGTGGGGCCCTGTGCTCCGATCTCTCTGGACGCTCAAAAGACCTGCCAGGTAGGCTTTGCCTCCGTGCTGCAGATGAACATATTGCAGAGAGGACAGGCACTTCCCCAGGGCCACACAGCTCGAGAGAGAAGCAGCCCGGAGGGGAACCCAGGCCTCTGGCTCTGTGGCCTCCCTCTCACTGCTCAAGCGAAGCGCTGGCCCTCTACCTAGCTGTGGTGTCTGTCCCTCTCCGAGTCTGCCTTGGCCCCTCCACTTCTGGGTGTGGAGTACACGCACTCACCACAACAGACATTTGGAGCGGCCCCTGGTGCCCGGTGCCATGCCACCACCCGGAGCTTCCATTCCAGTGGGGAAGCTGGGGTTAGAGCCCCACTGATGGATGTCAGTAGCAGTTGTGTCCCATGCCTAGCACAGTGGACTGTGACGCAGACAACAGGGGCCCTCCCCAGGGAGGGTGGCGGCAAGTGTCCGAGAAGGGAGCCTGGGAGCAGAGACCGCCAGGTCTGCTGCGGGCTTGGGCCTGGCCTGTGGAAGGAGACCAGGGAGGTCGGAGCCCAGGGCTGAGTTGGGATTTGTTCTGCGTGGGATGGGGGTCACTGGGAGGACCTGGCTGCCGGGGCCCGGTTGACTCAGGAGCCCGCTGAGGAGGCTCCTGCAGTCATCCAGGCAAGGGGTGATGGGGCTGGGGCGGAAGTGGGGTGGAGGCTTGGTGGTGAATCGGTGAGAGGTGTGGGAAGGAGGCGGCTGTTGAGAAGTCTCCCTGGGGTGACGGAGAAGGTCGCTGGGGCTGTGCCTCCCGTGGAAGGATGGAGTCCTCAGAGGCCAGGGTTCAGGTGACTCTGACTCCCTTCCTCCCCCAGGGAGTGCCTGCAGGGCACCATCCGCAGCAGCCAGGAGGCGGAGGTCTCCTGCCCCTTCATTGACAACACCTACTCGTGCTCGGGCAAGCTGCTGGAGAGGGAGATCCGGGCGGTAAGGCTGGTGGGGCAGCCTTGGCTGGGCCCCGGGCCCTGGCGGACAGATGGGGCCTGGCTCGGGGGCGTGGGGATCAAGCGGCGACAGTTTCTCCGTGGGGTGCTGGGGTCCCACACAGGACAGCAACTGAGAAGGAAGCCCCCTTCATGAAGGACTCTGGGTCCAGACAGCTTGGGTGTGTGACCTCAGGCCAGATACCTAACCTCTCTGTGCCTCAGGGTTCTCACTGCCATCCAGACCAGACTTGCATTTCCAGGTCAAGGGCTGCAAAGGTCACAGTAGCTGATGTGTGTGGAATGTCGGGGGAGTGCTTGACCCTGGGAAGCCTGTGTCAGTCGGGTTTTGCTGTTTCGCAGATCACTCCCGACTTAGTGGCTTCAAGCAGCAGTCGTATATTTAGCACATGATATTCAGCATGTCTGTGTAGTTAGCCCTCCTTCTGCAGGTTTCACACCCAAGGATTCAACTAATTACAGAGAGAGAGTCATCTGAAAAAACAAAAACAATACAACAATAAAAAATAATACAACTTTGGTTTTTTTGAGTCGAGGTCTCACCGTCTCCCAAACTGATGTGCAGTGGCACAGTCACAGCTCACTGCAGCCTTGGATCCTGGGCTCAAGTGATCCTCCTGCCTCAGCCTCCTGAGTAGCTAGACCTATGGGTGCACCACCATGCCCTGCTAATTTTAAAATTTTTTTGTAGAGACAAAGTCTCATTGTATTGCCCAGGCTAGTCTCGAATTCTAGGCTCAAGCAACCCTCCAGCCTCGGCTGCACAAAGTGCTGAGACTACAGGTGTGCGTCACCATGCCTGGCCAAAATTTTAAAAACAATACAGAACAACTATTTACATGGTATTTATAGTATATTGGGTATTATCATCTAGAGATTTTAAGCATACAGGGAGGATTTGTGTGGGTTATATGCAAATACTGTGCCATTTTATGTCAGGGTCTTGTCTGTGGGGGTTTTGGAGCCAATTCCCGTGGTACGAGGAAGGACCATAATTTGGGCTGGGCTCATCTGGGTGGTTCTTCTGGGCTGGGCCAGGCCGGGCTTGGCTGATCTTAGGGGACTGAGCTGGTAGGTCAGCTATGGTGGTCAGTTTGCGGTGGCTGCGATGACTGGGGCCTGTTCACATGGTGGTGGTTTTGGGCTTTCAGGAGCTGCCCTGGGAACCCCAGTGCATGATGCTTTCTGAGTCTCTGCCGATTTCTCACTTGCTGCTGTCCCATTGGCCAAAGCCGGTTACGTGCTCAAGCCCAGAGTCCATGTGGGAGGGGTTGCTGTTATTCCCATGGCCCCTCACGGATTGCTACCCATCTGCATATGTCTGTACTTGCTGTTGTTACCAGGTCCTCTCCCTGGCTGCCACTGGTCTTGAGCAAGTGCTCTCTCTTCTTGGGGGCTCTATTCCCCATCTGTGGGCTGTTGGGTTTGATTCGTGGTCTTTAAACTGCCGGGGAATGGCCTTTCCAGACTTGGGCACCTTGGGTTCCCAGGACAAAACATGGAGGCAGGGCCAACAGAGGCTGGGGTTCCCTTGGGAAACCCCCCAGACACAGACACAGCACCCCTCTCTTTCCCATCACTTCTGCATCTCCCCTATGACCTTGTTTCTCCTGGGAATGCTCCTACTTCACCAAGAGTTTCTGGAGCCCAGGGGGCTCTGCCCTAGGGAAAGGGAGGAGGCAGAAGGGTAGAACTTGGGAAGTCCCCACTCTGCCATCAAGAGGGCCTCGTGTCACCTCAGTGGCTTCTGGGAAGGGCAGCCCAGTGGTTGCCGAGGCTTCCTCTCTCTGGCCTGGAGAGACCCCAACACCCAGAGTCATTCCACATGTCCCCAGCTCCTGGAGTAATTTGTCCAGAAGTTCTCCCTGTGCCGTCCATCCCCGCCAAGGGGCACGAGGCTAGGGCCAGGGTTCTTGCCAAGGGGCTGCCTGGACTTGTCTCGAGCTCCTGGGAGTTGACCTGGGCCTCTGCGAATGGTCAAGTGTGGCAGAGAGAGGAGGCAGGGGCCAAGCCAAGTAACGCAGTGGAGGTTGGTTTTTACTGGTTTGTTTTGAGTCAGGACCTCACTCTCACCCAGCCTGGAGTGTAGTGGTGTAGTCTTGGCTCACTGCAGCCTCGAACTTCTGGGCTCAGGTGATCCTTCCGCCTCAGCCTCCTGAGTAGCTGGGGCTGTAGGTGTGTGCCACCACGCCTGGCTAATGTTTTGATTTTCTGTAGAGATGAGGTCCTACTGGTTGAACTCCTGGGCTTAAGTGATCTTCCCACCTGGGCCTCCCAAAGTGCTAGGATTACAGGCATGCACCACTGAGCCTGGCCAGAGGTTGCTTTTATAAAAACAAAAAATAAGCCGGGCTCGGTGGCTCAGCCTGTAATCCGCGCCTTTGGGAGACTGAGGTGAGTGGATTGTCTGAGCCTGCTGGTTCGAGACCCGCCTGGGCAGCGAGACCTCATCTCTACAATAAAACAAAAAATCAGCCG